AAGAGACAGGAAGACAGCAGAGCAGAAGCACTGTGTCACTGCAAGGCGGCACGGTCCCTGCTTTCACCACCGCAACTTGACAATTTAACTGTAATGTTTTATGCAAAGGGGCAGGAAAGTAGAGAGGTGACTTAGATCCATATTCTCTCCCCACCTCTTTGTGTCCCAGCTTCCTGGTGAGCACAGCAGGGCTGGCATCAGAACTGCAACCTTCACGACTGCTAACAGAAAACCTGGAGACTTATGTGAGACTGATGGAGACACGGAGAGGCAGTGCAAATATTTAGTTTTCTAATATATCAGTAGCACTTCAAAAGACTAGCTTTTCCCCTAGACTACAAGTGACAGCTGACTAAAGGTGACTGGCAAACAGCATTGAGAACCCACTTGGGATTTTCTTCTTCATTCTTAATGTTTGCCTTTCTATCAAGAAAATATTTTAAAAATAAATATGTTAGATTTGCAAAGGATATTCTTGCTAGATGTCTCATAGACCTGACCTGCTCATCTCCTGTCACAGGACTAAAGTTACCTGCTGGTATCCCAGATGTTTTCTGCAACCCAGCAGCAAAGGATAAACTTGCCAGCAGCCTCTCATCGCACAGAGCAGCGGAGCATGCTGCCTGATGGCCAGGGCCCAGCTAGTTGACACTGGGAGCACAATGGACAGAGAACATTGCACACAAGCTCATCCACCTTGTTTATGTCAGGGCTTGTCAGGTAAAGAGTTACACTGATGTGGATGCTCTGCTTTGCTGAGGTAGTATTCTGTGCTGCTCTGCACCTCATGGATGTACAGGCTCAATGGGTGTTAAATTACAGTCTATCTGCAGTAATTCATTGTACAAAACCTTACACCTATGGATAGGACCAACAAGCCCTCCACAGTGAGAGAGCCACCAATGAAAATGGCCTGTCAGTAGCTGCCCCTTGGATATGCTTGAAAGTAATGAAAAAAGGGATTAAAAAATTAGCTTAAATATGAACAGATTGGTAGCACCCCATTAAAAAGACTGGGGATATTTATATTCAAATCATATAGGCTTGAACCAGCACTAACAACCTGGAAAATCAGGACTGATGAAGCAAATGTATGTTGAAAGTAACTGTTCTGCTTTCACCCTGATAATGCAATGACCAGTCATCTCCCGCAGTAGCTGAAGTGATTTTCAAGGATAACCCAGGCAGGGCATTTCATGCTAATCTAATCTGCAAGTGGGGGCTATCAGATACCAACACCCCCGTTTGCCAAATTCAGACTGACTAATGCTTCCCTGACCTTGGCTCCTGTTACCATATGAATCTGCGCAGCACAGGAGAATTGGCAGCGTGACAGCAACACAGGCACTTCATCTTCAAGGCATTTTATTTAGCATTCCTGTGAAAAGTAGGGGTATTAAGATGCCTGGTTTACAGAGGGAGGAGAGGTGACAAAGGGCTGTGCCCTGGGCTGGGGGCCGGCTGGGCTGGAATTCAGGCTCAGGAATGTCCTAAAGTGAAACCCTCCCTGCATCTCCTTCTGTTCCAGAGACAGTTCTTGTGGTCACAGAAGCAAAAGCTTAATCCTTTTCTAATATTGTGATGCCTTATTTTTTCCTTATTAGAAAATAATCTCATCAAGGCAGGAATCACCTTCATTTAACATCTTCTCACAGCCTCTGTTAGCCTTGAACCAGGAGCTGTGTTAGAGCACATAACTGGGGTTAACTCCTTGTGTTCCTTTATTCGAATACAAAGCAGAATTTGGACTGAAGTCTCCAGCGGTGTGAACATTAGTACTTTTTCCTAAATTTCTTTTAGAAACTGTTCAAGACTCTAGGATACCCAGGAGATGCAAAAAAAATCCCAAACCATCTCTACGAGGGTATATTTAATCTGGGATATTTCCATGATGGTTTTCTAGCACTGTGACCCTTTGCCTGCTTTCTAGGGCAGAGGGAGGAAGGAATTTGACAATTTGACTTTTTTTTTTTTTTTTTTTGGTGTGTGTGTAAAGGGATGGTATGCACTGTATTAGCATGAATTGGACAAAAAGATCTCAGAGGTAGACTTCATGTTGAACTAGAGATTTATGTTATATTTTGGATGGAGAGGTGTCATCGTTTCATTGTTTTTCTTTCTGAGAGAGGGACCCAGGATGCAGCGAGTGCAGTGGTTTCTGCAGCCGCCGTTGCTGCGTGTCAGAGGCAGCCTCATCAAAAAATCTTCCCGGGTGGAAGCAATCGGGTTTGCTTCCAAGCCTTCCTCCCCAGGCCTCCCAGAAACGGGGCTGGCCCTGGATTAACTTTCTTTCTAATAAGTGAACCAGTGAGGGAAAAATAAAAGCCGAGGTGTAAACAGAGTCTTTTATTTTCCTGATATGATCCTGCAAAGAGCTGAGTATTTTGACCCCACTCTAATAAAACACTTTCTTAATACAACGCACAGAGCAATTCCTCAGAGTTCATTGAGTATTCACTTAAGATCATGCAGACTTGGGTTAGTGTTTTGCTCCGTTCAGCCCAGGCTCCTTACGAGCAGCTGCGGGGAGCAGCTTGCTTGTCCTGGGGAGCACACAGGCAGCTCTTCCTAGCCTCTTTATAACCATTTATATTTCAGTCTGGGTTTGTTGCATTCATGTAACTCCCTCTGGTGGATACCTTCACAGGATTTTTTTCTTGATGTAGCCCCTTTGCTGGGGCCTTTTTCCTAGGGATGGAGTGGGTTTAAAAGAAAAAGAGGATTAAGGGGTTAGATTTCCCTACAAACCACTGGTACTGAGGCTTTTCAGCTCTGATCCCCAAGTCTTTTTTGCTAACTTCCCCCAGTCTCCTTCCAGCCTTTGTGATGCTCAGCATTGCTGTCACATACTGTATAAAAAAATTAAAAATTAATCAGGCCTGTATTTTTTTGGCTGAGTGGGCATCTGACCTGGAAGAAGAGTGGATCCTGTTCTGATCCCAGTTATATCTTCTTTTCTGAAAGTTAATGGCACATACAGAAGCAAATCCCAGGGAAAGGGAGCAGTGCTCATGCCTCCTGCCACCCAGGTCAGTATCCTAACCTCTAAGCTGTTTCTGTTTCTTCTTTGGTTAACTCATATTAATTTACTTGCCCAGTGGAGCAGGTCCCAGTGGAGGAAAGGAAGAAAACTGCAGCCAGAGCTGTAGCCTGGTAGTTGTGGGTTCGGTACGAAATGCTCCTGTGGTTTCCCCAAGCTGCACTGATGCTGGGCAGATATGCAGAGATCCTCGGAGGTGTTAGACCTGCTCTGAGGTGTTCTCACAGAAGAGCTTTGGAAGAGCAAGAAATCCAGGTCTCTGAAGCCCAGCCTATGGAGGGGAACACCGTTGTTCTCAGCCAGAAGAGCCCCAGCAGAAGGCTGACTGTCTGTCGAAGCAAACCTGAGAAGAGCAATTCCTTTATGTAAAACCAGGATACCACAAGTGCCTAGGATGGAAATAACTAACCCAAACACATCAATAATCAAAAAGAATCAGATTTATGCATTTGTTGTATTTATTTTGGGGTGTCGGTCAGAAATGGTTAAGATGTAAGAAAAGGTTTTAATGAAAACAAAAGGCAAAATATTGTGTTGTCAATACAGCTGTCAAAATATCAACAACTACCGACATATATTGACAGCTAAGCAGCAGTGCTCATGGGCTTTCCTCAGACTGCTGAGACTTGCTAGATGGTTTTCACAAATAGCTATTTGGTATGAAATGAAAGTCATGGAAACTTTTACAGACAAAAATACAATGGTCATTTTATACAATGAAAGATGGATCAAGATTTATTTATTTTGTTTTCTTCATCACTAAGCAGAGCTGTGAATTAGATTTGTCAACGTCAGTCTTTCATCTGGTGGGAGTCAGCTCTTCAGTTAACTTACTAGTGACACAGATACACAGAGCTACTGAAAGACATGGAGATTTAAGAGGCAAAACACAAGATCCAGCTTTGACTTGGCAAGATAAACATACCAGCTTTAAGCATAATACTGCTGATCAATTGCAGGTGAAATCCAAATAAAAATAATGGAATTTATCCACACAATGATATCCAGAAGTGCAGCAGCGCTGCACTGCTTTTTGTTGGCTCTCTCTCAGAATAACTGTGGTCCTGGCTCTTGTGTTTCATTTTAGCTGTTGGATTAGGAACACGGGATGCCCAAGGGACAAAGATCAGGCCCAAAACCTGCCTGGCATACAGTGAGTGCTGGCAACACAGATCTTAAAAAAAATGTGAATTGGCTCATCCCACACAGGCAGATTTGAGTTTCTCTTTCAAATTTTCCTCATGGGCATTTCAAATAACCCATTTTCAAGCTTGCTTTTTTTTTTTTTTTTTTTTTTAACCAACTGTAAAAACAAAGACCAGAACTGTTTAGGTTTTGTTTTAAAGGGGGAAAGGAGAAGCAGACATAAAACCAGTCTCCTGGAGCCTTTGTAGGAGGGCAAATATAGCTGTACTTGGCTCGGTGAACATTTTAGTGATAACACACATTTCAAAGACTTGATGCAGGGAGCTCTCAAACAGGTCATCTTTGGATATTTCCCTTTATTTATCTGTACTTCTTTTGCTTCGGGAGCCCACAATCAGATCTTCCAAAAAGCTTTTCAATTCTTGCCTGTTCAGATTAAGCCAAAGCAGCCTAAGAGGAGCCATTCCATTGATATTTTCTTCTGAACTTTGTTTTCTGAGCTGATTCCAGGAAAGTGTAAAAATATCTGCTGTCAGAAAGATTCGGGTTCATTTTTTATTTCATCCAGACATGTTTTGTTTTGTTTTGTTTTGTTTTTTTTTTCCCCCACAGCTAATACGGTTCAAACATGCTTCACTCCCTTGCTAGGACATATAACTAGAATAGCAGGGACATGGTCAGAATGGTATCAGCTCAGAATTTTATTAAAAGTTCAATATAATTGTGGTTCTGATAGCTGCCCAATAGCAGCTTGGTTACATCACAACTATGAAATGTTTCAACAGCAAAGAAAAAGTGACACACATGGACTTTAAAGATCTGAGAGTGACAGAAATGTGGAGCACTTGTTGGCATGGAGTTTAAGTTCAGAAGTGCAGAAGACCACTAGATCACCTCTTTTGACCTTGATATAAATGGAAGTTGTAGTGTATCATGCAGATATCTGTATATGGAGAGCAAAGGCTTGCCTTTAGAGCTCCAAAAGTTTGTCCAGTTTGCCTTTACAGTTTCAGAAGACGACAAATCCAGACAGTTCCCAAGGTATCTAGTCCTGCGCTTTTTTTCTTTCTCTCCAAGAGAGAACACTTGGTAGCAACGGCAGGTCTCTGGAACCCCAAATCCATTAGCAAATGTGAAAGCACAGATGTGTCAAGAAAAACACAGTAAACCAGATGTTATCAGAGAGAATGAAATACAGTGTCAGAGAGAGACAAATAGAACTGGAATGTGTGATCTATAGTAGCATTTAATCAGATAACTTCTGAAGAAGATTCCCTATACTTAGGAAGAGTCAAAGTTACACAGCGTACAGTATGGTAAATCCTTGATGTTAGTAGGGATCTGTTAGCTGTTATTACTGAATAACATGTCTCCTCTGCTTTCTGATAGTTCTTCTTAGTTACAGATATTTCTTACCATAACTCAGTAAATTACCCGATGAGGTGAGATTAGACTTGTTCTTCAGACCTGCTAGGATCAAGTCTTCTGGCTGGTACTACTTGGGTAGCTTTGCAGCATCCAGAGCAGATGTATTTCAGGAAACACAAGTAAGCGCTCCCTGATATGATAATGGTGACGATGATAATGACTGTAGCACTAAGTGCTGGTGGCACTGTATCCTCCAGAATGGAGTGATGTCCTCCTGCTGTGGAGGAAGGAGGCAACTCTGTGTTCTCACCTAGTAATGACAGAGTAGTCATAAATCAGAAATTTCATCAGGAAATGAGAAAAAAGCACAACATTGGTGGTGCCTAAAAAAAACCCAAACAAACAAACAAAAACAACCACAAAAAACCCACAAAATAAACACACTTGGCAATTACCTCAGTTAAGTTTAGATATTTTCAAAGTACATGGGAATATCTAAGCTGGTGTCTCTCAGCTTGCTTGCAAGGAAAAGCTAGAAATATGCTCTTTGAGGGCATAACTTTAGATGTATTTAACATGAGACAAATCTCTCCCTCAAAATGTTTTTTCTCTGCAGAGAGGCTAAAGGAAGTCAGAGGGTGACTGGCTTGGAAACAAATGGCTGTATTTGGTCAAATGAATCCCCCACGCGATGTTTTTCATTCTTGGAAAAAGAAAATATAAAAGAGCTATTGAACCTGGTTCCATGGAAATGTCCTTATGGGTGGCACAGGAATTAAAAAACCCAATGCAATGAATAATAAGATAGGTTGCTATAATACCTAAGCCATGAGGTCCCGAAAATGGTTTTGGAGTAATCCTGTTCCTGAGAGGTAAGATGCTGTTTGACACACTTTGACCTTCATTTAGCTTAATCAATTCATTTGAACTCTCCTTGGCACTGACCCTCACCCGGGGATTGGATACTTGCGACATGCAAGTAAAAACCTCTAGAATTATGGACACTCAAAATCTGTCACGTGGCAAATCCATTGCTGAGAAGTGATATTATTTAGCTGTGGTTGTTTTTTTTTTTTCTTGATGATCAATATACATTTTTTTCCCCAAAATACTGCTAAAAAGCAACACAATTATCCAACAGCACAGACTATGCCACTCTTGTCCACTGAGTTGCTATTCAATATCCAAATCAATTACAGGTACCCCCTGCTTCAGAACTCTACAGTACTTTTTCCCATTATGGTCTTCAGCCAGGAGTACGATGAGCATGTTAACCACAAATATAGTTTCCATAAAATCCTGTGCTTGGGTTAAGAACTTGACCAGATTAGTTTAAAATCTATGTCTGAGCCTACTTTCTGTTTACCTTCCCAGTTCCAGGCTTATTGATATTCCTGTGCAATTCACCCCTACTTTCTAGACAAATCTCACATCGTCATTATTTTTAAAATTATTTGATCACTGTCATAGAGAGCTCGTGATGCAGCATGTTTACCCCACCGCATAAGCAGTGATGCATATGTTTTTTTCATGGAGAGTCATATTCTTTCAACAGAGGTAGGATGATTTTGTAGGACCTGACAGTTCAGAATTCTGCTCTCAAAGTAAGAGCAGGAAAAAACACACACTCCATTTTTCCTGGTCATTTTTAACCCTGAGTTTGTTTCCTTTACTTTGGCGCAGATGATTATTCATATATATATATATATATATATATATATATATACACACATATATATATATATCTGGTACATTCTGCATACCTATACATCTCTACTGACTCTGTTAGTAAAAAGAATACCAAGCTGTTATATTTTCCATGTGGAATTTCATCTAAGTTCAAAGGACAGCACAATGTGTTTTCTAAAGGAGTTGTCCTTACGTACATTTCCCAGGGGAATCTATCAAAATGAGGAAACAGTAGCTTTAAATAGGATTCTCCTTTGAAAGCTTCACTAAAATCAGCATTTTAATCAAGATATTTTCTTTAATAGGGGCCAGATTTTTCCATTCTTCATCTTGTGAGTAGAACAGTGATTCTGATAAAAGTTTTTAGAAGTCTGAAATACGCTGTGGCTTTTATTGGTGTTTCTCATCTAAGACTTCTTTCTCCAGTGCTCAAGTTACTTTAGATGGGAGGTCTTGAAGTGCAGCCATTACTCCTACTGCGCCAATATCCCACTGATTTCAAGATCATATTAATTAAAAGCTCACCTCTGTTATGATGCCAGACAACACTCCCCAGCAGAACCAGGCTGTGAGAATGCCAGCCTTGATTCTTGCCACATTTAGTATGGTTTTAAGTAGCTGAATTTATGATAATTCTCGTTGTTACTTTGTCCTTTTCACCTGTTTTGTTTTTCCTTGCCCTTTCGTCTTGCCTTACATACAGTCTGTAAGCTCTGTTGTACAAGGACTCATTAAATGGGTGCCTGGTGCCTCAGAACGAGGAAGGTGGGTCTGTGAATAGGGCTACTTCTTGCTCCTGCAATGCAAACAAGCAATCGCATGAACACCAAGCTCAGCCCTCTCATTCCAATAAATGAGAAAGCAAAGTCGGTGCTAACTGTAAAACACTGCCAAAGAATTCAGATGGTAACACAAGGGTGAGTGGCATCTGTGAATGCCACCGAGAGGTCTTGTTTTCCCTTGGTACCATCTTCAGCTGCTCCAAGTTCATTTTTCACCTAACCCATCTGTTTGCTTCTGCATCTCAGCGACTGTGGAAGCGTATGCATGGCAACGCCTCCGAAAGAGGGAATGCAACTGCCCTGGGATCATGTCTGAGCTGCTGCTGGCATCAAAGTCCTCTCTTTGAGTGAATAAATGATATGCTAATAGCATGCTAACCCTCCCCCCACAGATACAAGCAGTGGCCGAGGCCAGTCCCTCTGCAAAGGGAGAACACAGAGGGCTGTTCAGGCTTGTTCTTTCCTGCAGTATTGACTTTTTCTATTAAGTTACGCTGCCTCCAATTTTAATGGCAGAGAGGTTGCCAGCTCGGATACCCCCAGGGCTGTCCTTGCTGTTCTCTGTCAGCAAACTAACCCACCAAGGAAGGGAAAGGGCAAGTCTCACAGTCAGGGATGGACTGTGAAGGAGAGGGGAAGATGTTGACATCTCTGCACCTCTGGCTTCGCTTCACATCAAGCTCCAGCTACGTGTCCTCACGTCCAAAGACTCTCTGCTCTGCTCTGTCTGGCCAGCTTTTGTCCCTCATCTTAACCAACTTTATCGTGTATTTGTTTATGTTTCCCATAATCCTATTTACACTTTACATCTTACTCAGCTTTAAATTTACAATCTTTGTCTCGCTGAAATTCCTCTTGAAGACCTGATTCGCTCCTCTTCTGTAAGAAATCAGCCAGCACATCCTGGACAGAGTGGAGGGCAGTCATGCTCTGTTTACAACATTTAAAATTGAAGATTCCACAAAAGTCCTGATTTATCCATCTTTTCCTATAGATGAATAAAATCAACCAGCTCCCACACTTTGAAAAAACAGTTTATTCACATATGTTGAATCCTGTGTGTTTTGACTGTCTCCTTCTCACCTACTGAAATTATGCTCTTTGCCTTCTCACACTATAAAAATTTTTCAGGACAAAACTGCCTTAATGTATTTGATATGTTACCAAAGAATAGATAAAACCTTTGGTCATGCAGGAGCACATGTATGTAGAATTGCTTATGGAATATTTGCTATTTTTTTCTTTTATACAAACAAATGCACTAGAACTGGCTTTCATCATGAGTATGTGGAGCCACTTGGAGAGAAGCTGAGATCAGCGTTTGAAGGCATTTTTATAACAAGTCAGTAAGAGTCCAAGTGGGATCAGAATGTCATTTCCAAGTCTGAGTGCAATGGAGACTAGCTCAGATTGAGGTTAAGTGCTCACCCTCTTAAAATGTCTCTTCTGTCAGAACAAATTTTCTTGAATGACCTGACTCCAGAAAAGTTCAGTGCTTGGCTCTTTACAAAGCAGAAGAGACTATGATGAACACACACAGGCATGCAGGTGGAGCAAAGCGGTAGGGTATGCAGACAACATGGGCATCTAAGGTTTTTTTATCTTCTCTAGTGGCTTAAAGTACCAGCCAGACCTGATATTTAGATCTTCCTGACTACAAACCTGCCATGAAGTGAAAGCCTGCATGTTGGCTTTATGAGAACTGGTCCTGGATCTTAGTGCTGGGACACTGCTGAAATAGCCACATGTAAAAACACAGAGTTCATACCCCAGCACTAGGGAAAAGTTTCTGGGATGTTTTCTTGAAAATAAACTAGTGGTAAATCACTGCTTATATTCTGAGTCACTGACTTGTAACATGCTTTCTCTGGGATATAGGAAACACTGGTGTTCTCCCTGAAATAACATTCAGTAATCATGAAGGGCAGAGAATATCATCAGCCCATTTCACGCCCTATACAGTCCAAACAGTGGAAGAGGAGGTGGAGTCCAGGAAAAGACTGCACAAATTCATCCTGCAGCATAAAATACAGTAGCTGCCCTACATCACAGAAATGCCAGCTCCTCCTAGCTATTTATTAGATAATGAGGTGTAGACCCTAACTTTACAAGTTTCTACAACAGTTTGTCGGATAATTGAGTTGATTTCATCCGTTCAGAATTTCATTTCTTCAACAGTTTTCATAGTTCTTCAAATTGTTGAGATAGGAAGGGGTAAGACAAGGAGAAATGGGTCTAGAGACTAATAAAGCACAGATCTGGAAAACCCACTAGACTCATTTTGGGGGTGTATGTCTGTCTTTCAGACAGGAATCATTCACATGTTGAGAAAACTCACAAAGAATGGCAATTCCTATATAACAGATCAGCTGAATATGAAGATACCGCTATATTTATATACATTTTAATCTACATGCTTAGCCCAGGACTGTAGATTTTCTAGCTTTTTTTCTGTTTGAGGACCAATGTGCCATGCAAGTTGAACACTTTTGTCTGGAAACCTTTCTGTGCACAATGACTATACACAAAATCCTACTTCACTGCAGAAGCAGAAACAAAGACAATCTATCAGCAGTTGTTCAAATTAAAGACAAACACATTTGTTCAAAAACCTCAAGTACTCAGCCCATGAGAAATCTGGCTTTCAGCTGCATGCTAAGATCAGGTTCACAGTTGTTCCCTTCCTCTCTGTTTTATTTTTCTTTTAGGACTGCAGCTCTACAAAGCAGACAAGTTGCATTGATGCCCAACCCTTTCCTTGTGCTGGTTTTGCTATGGTGTTGGCACTGACAGGAGCTCTGGAATGGGAAGAGTACCAAGTAATGTACAGGTAGCACAC